CGTAACTGCCGAAAGCTTGATTTGTTGATCAGGATGGACGAACTAACGACGACCAGAAACCGCTGGACATTCCCCGGCAACGGAAAGACGTACACCTCGATTTACAACCCGTCCAGCAAGGAAGTCACTGAGGCCCTAGTCGAAAACACCCAGCATGATATGTTTTGCCCGGGTATCTCCATGGACGCCGATGGCCACATCATCGTTAGCGGAGGCTCCACTGCCGCCAAGACGAGTATCTTTGATGAAGAAACCAATTCTTGGGCTGCCACTGGCGACCTGAAGATCCCTCGTGGATACCAGTCCAGCACGCTTACTTCTGACAACAAGGTCTTCACCATTGGCGGCTCGTTCCGCGGTGGTGCCCAAGGGAAGCACGGTGAAATCTACGACACCGTAAGCAAGGAATGGAAGAAGCTCGATGGGTGCTCAGTGACGCCCATGTTGACCCAAGATACCCGTGGCTCTTTCCGGGCCGATAGCCACGCGTGGCTTCACGCATGGAAGGATGGATATGTGTTCCAGGCAGGCCCCAGCAAGGCAATGAACTGGTACTCCACGCGGGACTCGGGAAGCGTCAAGGGTGCTGGAAATCGAGGGAGTGACAGCGATGCCATGTGCGGCGTCAATGTCATGTACGAGTAAGTGGTGCCCGTCCTCCTATCGCCAGGTCTGATCGCTAACAAAAACTCTCAGCGCTGTTGCCGGAAAGATTCTCACCGTAGGAGGTGCTCCTCGCTACGACGGCGTGGCATCAACCGCTAACGCCCATGTCCTTACCATCGGTGAGGCTGGCGGTGCTGTTGAGGTTGAGAAGCTTGAGAATGCCAAGTACAACCGCGGGTTCGCCAATGGTGTCGTGCTTCCCGATGGCAAGGTCTTCATTGTTGGTGGTCAGAGCCGTACTGTACTCTTCTCGGACGCCAACCCGCAGCTTTTCCCCGAAATGTGGGATCCTGCTACCAAGAAGTTCACTACGGTCAGTTCATTGAGAAAGCTTACAGGCTACAGCGCTGACTTCCTCCTAGCTCAAGTCACACACTACCCCCCGTAACTACCACTCGGTAGCCCTTCTTATGCCTGACGCGACCATCTTTTCTGGCGGCGGTGGTCTTTGCAACGGATGTACCGCCAACCACTTTGACGGACAGTTCTTCTCGCCGCCCTATCTCTTTGAAGCTGTAAGAAACGATGCCGAAATTTTGGACTGTATGGTGAGCCACAATGCTAACTTAGCTACAGGACGGGCAAACTCTTGCCAAGCGCCCCGTCGTTTCCGACATCTCAATCTCCGAGTGCAAGGCCGGCGACAGCTTCACCATTACTATGGATGAGGCGGCGAACTACACCTTCTCCATGATTAGGATGGGCACTTCGACACACGCGGTCAACACCGACCAAAGACGTTGCCCTCTGGAGGCTCAGGCCAACGATAATCAGTACACGGTGACTGTTCCCGGAGACGCCGGTATCGCACTCCCTGGCTACTGGATGTTGTTTGCTGTGAACGAAGCTGGCGTTCCTAGTGTTGCTAAGACTTTCAGAGTCGCAGTGTGAAAAGGGTGAACAACCGCTCGATTTCTGCAAAGGGAGTTAGGAGTACGATGCTTGACCGTATAATGTCCATATGTTTGGTTGTACCACTACTTACCTCAATATCTATAATATTAATTGACAATAATCTTTTCGATAATTTCCAGTATCAATATACAGGGGATCGAAGAACGTTCCTTGTGCTGCTGGGGTCGGTCGAATCGCCGAAAGAAAACCGGAGGCACCAGAAATCAAACCCCACCGCGGGCAAAAGCCGTGGAGGGCCGATCCCGGGCCCCGCACAAGCCTCGATCGGATGTTGCTTCGTTTCTGCAGATCCGTTCTGTGCGCGAAACGGCATCCGTTGGTTATCAAACTCCTCAAGATATACGATGCCCAGACGAGAAGTCCATATGCCGGGCCGAGACTTCGACATGCTGACATGTAAGAATGGCCGAGTCGAGTTTGCGTGACAGCGGGCATTGATGAGCTCTCCGGCAAATAGGTGGCTCAACGCATTCTGGAGAGCGAAGCATCTGAATGTCTCGGCCAAGAATGCGGGTGCGGCTCAGCAAGGGTCCCATCAACACGAAGCCAAGCATGCGTAAGGCGCGGGGAGGAATGCAGGAAACCCGCAATCCTTCAAGTCAGCGTGGTAAGAGTCCCCACCTCGACGCTGACTGAGGCCCGAAGACATGCATTTTTGGGGTCTCGTTCAGATTGAGCTTGATAGCGCCGAGGCAGTGCTCAGTGCTTACAAGCTTGACGGATGGGCCTGATAGGATTCGAAGCTGAGCTGTGGCCCCAGTGCGAACCGCCTGGATGCCTTTTGAAAAGGAATAATCGCCTGCTTATTTCTGTTTGAAGTCAGGGGCTGTCGCTAGGTGCCAAAGCCGGCAAAGTTGGGATGTCTTATGCATGCCACTGAAGCGATTGCTAGTCCAATTTGTTGTGTCCGTAGGGGCTCATAGAAAAACCTGATGCCCCCGACAATAATGGGAGTGAGTGAACCCTTAAGGGAATGTCCTTGTCCGCATCCGTTGCAAAATGGGCGTGCCTTGCCACCGTTGGTCGTCGCCTCGAGGTGGGCAGGATCTCGGAGGACCTATCAGTGGAGGCCTGTACGGTAAGAGACCCGTTTGGCAGGCATTGCTCGTGATGCGGGCGAACAAATATTGTGATACACTTTGCGCAGGTAAAAGGGTCATTCGATCGGTCGTGGGCGTGGCCAATGCATGGCGCGTGCGGCTGGGATTTGACTCGTGCGATGCATCTTAAGAAGGAGTTGATTGTGTGATTGTGTTGGATTTCGCCCTTGGGACGTTGTAGAGTCGGGTTTGGAGGGTTAGCAGAAGGTGGAGGGGCGCAGCCGGCGGCCAATCATGGACAGCTGGCGATTGATTGTCAGCTTGACTTGCCAGGCGGAGCGAAGATACGTACCTTATCCGTATCAGCCTGCGCCCCGGAGCATCAGGTCGGGTTCACCTCGGGCGGGCATGTTGCATGGTGGGGTCAATCGGGCAGCTGAAGCAATTCAGCCATGGAAAAGCGCTGCACGCAGCACCACCGCCGCACTACGATCATCCCAGACCTGACCTGGCCCCAAACACCGCCGTCATTGTTCGCAGGGCAAAGTGGGCTGCTGTCTGGAGCTAGCTCGCTGCTCCAGCGCATCTGAATGCTGTTGACTTTGTATGAGCCACCGCCAGTCTAGACTGCTGGACATTGATTGTCTGGAATCTTGGCGTTGTGTTGTCTAGTGGTCAACATAGGCGAGTAGCGTGGTGCCGAATTTTGTTGACTGAACAGAGATTGAGCTTGATTCCGTTGCTAGGGCAAGAGCGACCGACCCAGGCCATCAAGCACCCAAATCTAGGGTGGTTGTCGCATGTTGGGGTGACACGGGCCTATCAGCCGTTGCAGAGGGCCACATTCCTGGCTGGTCTTGACATCACCGGCCAGGATGGTGGACGCTTCGATGTGACCTTGGTTTCCCAGCACATAGGCACAGGCATTGGGATAGGAAGTACTGGCACACTGGGTCTCGAATGGGGATAGGCTGGCACGCTGGCTGATCTTGGAGACAGACTCGAAAGCGGTTGACGTGTGTCGCATTGTGTCAGACGAATAGGCTTGCAGGCGGGAGCCAAAGAGATGACAGCGCTGAGTGACTTGCGCAAAACATGCGTTGCAGGAGAATACGGGGCGACGTGGAAGACGGGCTGCCGTTGGCGCTTTCGTCCGGTCATTGCGTCGAGTGTTTTCGAGAAATTTTGCGAAACAGCAAGACACAACGGTCAGCGACCATATCGAGCACGAGTACGACAGCCGCTAAGCTTCTTCCCGGCGCTATCCACTACTATGAGGTGGTATGGTAGGCTTGACTATAGGGATTGTACTTGCTGAGTGCTTGGAGTCCCAACTTTTTCCCAGCTTGAACTGTTCGGGTGCGACTGGGTTGAAGCCTGATAAGGCGGTGGTGTGGGAGGTGTTGGTGCGGAACAAGGTGCGTGTTCGCAGACAGTAGTGTAGACGCAATGGACGGACTGGTGTTGGGATGGGATGGGATGGTCTGAAGATGGTGTGCATGTCGTTGCTTAATGCGCTCGGTGGGTGTCGTCAACGTGCACCCGTCTTGTCTATGCGCACGTAATGAGGCTGATGGACGACATACTCCCCGCTCGCGATGTATCGACACTCTTTGAAGTCATGCTTGATAGACGCCAGGCAAAGATTCGAAAGATGGCGGAAGGAGTGGGTGTTGAAGTGACAACCGGCCAACTGTCACTGTCGGAGTCCGATATCAAGGGTCTGGCCGATGAAGAAAGGCGAATCAGGATGCCATGGGGCGCCAACTGTGACCTCATTAGCCTCATGTATTCGTGCGGGTTGTTCTGTTTTTAATTTTACCTTTTTCCCGTACATGATACAGCAGCATCTCCCGACTGCAACGTCTCTGACCGCCCAACAGGCCCATGACGGACCGCCGTGGTCACGGGTCACTGGTGTGCGATTCGGCTTCAAACGAGCTGTTCCAGATACTCTTAAAAGGTGGTATTCAGAGAGAGACACTGGCGACACTGTGAAGAGACAGGATCAAAGCTGTGTGGTCTCTGTGGAACGAACGTAAGGAAGGTAGGTACTTAGTGTACTACGTACTTACCTTGGTTGGGTGGGTGTTGAACTGCAGTGCAGTGAGGTGCGCAAGAAGTGGCAGGCAAAGCCCCTGGGCCCCACCAGTGGCTCTTTCCAAGAACAGGGTGCGTCCCACGCTGCGGGAAAGCGCTAAACGCAGCTTCCCCCACTGCTACCCACCCACACGAGTCTTCTGATCCAATCAGATGACTCAACTCATAGAAGGTACCGGGGGTGTTCTAGACCAGGTCACCAGCATCTCCTGGTCCGTCCAACCGCACAGTTCCAGCCTGGTTCTTTTTTTTTTTTCTTTCTCTCTCTCCTCGGCCCTGACTTTTGGGATCCCAGCTTCGCTTTCCCATTTTGAATATCCCCAGCCTGCGCAATTCGCTTGTTTCTGCTTCTCCCATGTTCATGCTGCACTGCACGTCTTGTTCAGTTTCTTGACCGGGGTCAAGCACTCTTCCTGTTCCCCTCCGCCCCATTCTGCATTCTCTTATCAGCCAAGCTCCCGCCGTTCGTCTGCCTTCTCCCACGAACCTCTGGTCCCTCTGCAGATACCTACGCCTACGAATCCCCAGGCGAACAAGACCTGACGCCCAACCGCTGTTCGTCCAGCACCAAGCGTCTGCTTCCTGCATACGTCCTACAAAGTCCTATTTCCTAGATACGGATACCTTCTGTTAACGACCCTTTACGAACTTGACGAAACGAACTCAACTTCTTCGCACCTCATCTAAGCTCAGCTCTGCATGCAAGTGCGCTGACGCAAGCTGGTGTGGCGAAGACAAACTGCCGCCGTCAATACGAGCACCACACCACCAACTAACTATCCGTACGCACACTGCGCTACCTCCGCACACTGCGGCGACTCCATCCTACTCGGACCCAATTCCTCGACACAGCCTCCCAGCGACCGTCCATTCTCACATCGGGAAAAAAAAGCTGCTGTTCGACCCCTCCACCGCTATCGACCTCGAACTCCTCTTCTCCGATCCTACTATTGCACTCGGCATCTCGAGCACTCCCCTGTCCACAAGAAAGACGACTCTTCGACCCGCCTAAGCTTCGCCAAGATTGTTGACATTCGCCTGATCTCGATAGCCAACAGCCCGCGAAACGTCAAATCACACAAACCGAGTCTCGACTTACTCCTACCGATTGAGGGTTTCTATGCCTAACGCCCTGGATATTTTTGTCAACACATCTACCCCCGATCTTTCATATCGTAACTAGATTAAGCGAATGATCACGAAAGTCGAATAACAAGGGCCCCTCTCTTCGATACATCTCCCCGGCGACCAAGTCGCCGGCGTACCCAACCGCCGCAATGGAGCAATCCGCGGAAATGTTGACGGCGGCGCATGAGATATACGCACGGATGGGCGGTTCAACTGGCGATACTGCCACGAGACCTGCCTCGTACAAGGCCATTGGTATTTCCTTGGCTGTAGCCTCCGGCGCATTTATCGGAACCTCCTTCGTCATCAAGAAAGTCGGTCTTCTGAAGGCCAACGAGAAATACAATGAAGCTCCCGGTGAGGGCTATGGCTACCTCAAGAACGCCTGGTGGTGGACGGGCATGACCCTGATGATTTTCGGCGAGATATGCAACTTCGTCGCGTATGCCTTCACCGACGCCATCCTCGTTACCCCGCTAGGCGCCCTATCCGTTGTCCTGACTGCCATTCTATCCGCCATCTTCCTCAAGGAACGCTTAAGTATGGTGGGCAAAGTCGCATGTTTCCTCTGCATTGTTGGCTCTGTCGTCATTGTCATGAATGCGCCTGAGAATTCTGCCGTTGCCAACATTCAACAGATGCAAAGCTATGTCATTCAGCCCGGGTTCCTGTCCTATGCCGGTGTCATCCTCGTCGGCAGCGCCATTACCGCGTGGTACGCAGGGCCGAGATGGGGCAACAAGAATATGCTGGTCTATATCTCCATCTGCAGTTGGGTTGGAGGTTTGAGTGTTGTAGCAACGCAGGGTCTGGGTGCGGCAATCGTGGCCCAGGCAGGTGGTGAGGCTCAGTTCAACAAATGGTTCACCTATGTTCTGCTGGTCTTCGTCATTGGCACTTTGCTGACAGAAATCATTTACTTGAACGTGAGACTACCTATTACCACATGGCTGAGAAACGCGAGGCTGATCGAAATCACAGAAAGCATTGAATCTTTTTAACGCCGCCCTCGTCACACCAACATACTACGTCTACTTCACCAGCACAACCATCATTACTTCGGCAGTGCTCTTTAGAGGTTTCAAGGGCACTCCCACTGCTATTATTACTGTGGTCAACGGATTCTTGACCATTTGCGCCGGTGTCGTGCTCCTCCAACTTTCCAAGTCAGCCAAGGATGTGCCCGACACCGCAGTCTTTGCCGGAGATCTTAACCAGATTCACACCATCGCCGAACAAGAACAACCCGAGACCGAGCCCAAAGCAGATGCTATTCGTGGAGCTGCTGCGATCGTGCGTCGCTTCTCCTCCGCCAGACAGAAGATGGAAGAGGCCGAGTTCAAGCGATTACAGGAAGAGAAAATGCGAGAGTCGCTGGAGCCTGTGAGCGAAGATGGCCAGCCCGTTTACGAATGGGACGGGATTAGAAGGCGGAGAACTATGACGGTTGGAAGTCGAAGCACCAGAGGAACGATACGATCGCCTTATCCTCTCTCGCAAGCCGGTATCCCTCACACGCCGACTGTCATCCCTCCCGCTTCTCCTCAGGCCCATCCACCCCTCGGCATGTCGCATTTCCCCACTGAAGAGGAGTTGGCCGAGCACGATCGGCCTTCCTCTCCCGGTATGCTTTCAAGCATTGCAGGTACCATCCGAGAGCGAGCACGTAGTGTTCTGTCGCCGAACCACCCCCAGTTCCAGGATCCAAGAGTTCAGAGCCCTATGCATCCAGTTCCCTTGACAGAAATCGCCGTATCCACGATCAAATCAGACGATGACCAGACACCGTACTACGGCAAGAGCAGAGAGCATGTGTACGGGCTTCCAGCTGGTGAACATGGCGACTTGGAATATGCCGGTGCTGCCGGCGTGTATGACCAGCGTGCTGTGTCGCAAGGTAGTGGCTTCAGCGGCACCAGCTCGCATCTCGCACCTACTCCACCACCACATTCAGCGAAAAGACAATTTTCCTTCTCCAACGTCTTCAAGAGACATCACGCTGATTCACCGCACCACGAGGACGATCACCAGCAGCAACATCCGCAGCTCCGACCCACCAGCCGCTATGGCCTTGGTTCGCGGGGTTACTCCAGTCCGCAAGTCAAGAACGCTACTGAAGAGGAGCGACTTGGTCTTGTAAAGGGAGACTCTCGCTCGATGCCTGCCTTGCAACGCTATGATGACGAGGATGATGAGGAGGACTCGTTCAATGACGACAAGTTGAGACATGTGGACTCGAGCCCGAGCCCACCGCAGGCCTCGAGATACGGACGCGGTATCACGACGCCGCCTAGGAGAGGAAGTGATGGACGTGATACGGACTTTGAATCCGAGGCACCTACACCGCCCCCTCATCGGTCACAGCCTGGCGGTGGCGGTGGCCGCCCTAACGCATTCCTCTGAGCGTATGATTAGCATGATTTTGGATTGATTCAACGCCGAATATGACATGACGTGGAAGGCTTTCTGCTTGGATGCCTCGGGTGTTCTTCACCTCTGTAAAAGTAATGGACGAGTGGGTACATATCAGCATTGGGAGAGGCCGCGTCCTCATGGGATGGATAGACCATGGGAGGTCAACTGTAGATGGGAGAGAACAGGCTCAGTAGCCTGCAACATGAGCAAGGCCATTGTTGGCTCATCAATACTTATATAAAACACAAATATAAACACGTCAATCAAACATCCTTGGCTCCGACTTGCCATCAATATTAGTGCTTGCAGACTGGACAACTTTTCTCGGTGAGCGCATACAACCACGACGGTCGACTTAAGCGGGAAGAGTGCCTGCCCTGCTACTCCTCAACTGTGGTGGGCTACAGGGTGTAGAAGCATGGCATTCCTAAAAAGTATGGCCAGAAAGTCAAAAGAGTTCACCCCCCCGGTGGCGAATGGGGACTACATCTCTGGCGCTCATGCTGGGACTCGAACACGGGACCTCTGAGCCTTCACCGATTAGGCTGTTCGTGGACTTCAACCACTCCACCACCCAGCCAGTTTTGACCTGACCCCCGAGGGGGCGCCTGCTGGCTGGTGACTGGAATGGAAGGAAGGGGGTGTATATGGGCTTGTGGTTGTTGTGTATTGAGGTTGGAGGGATACGGGCGAAGGGGTTTACGTGATGGCTGGCATCACTTGTGGAAGGTGCGGTCCAGCCACTGACTCTCGAAAATATGTGTCGAAGCTGAAGTAAGGTATGTAGGCACAGCAGGTATCGTAGGCTCGCAAAACGCACATTTGAGAGCGTAAAGGAAAAAGAAAGATGATACTTATGCTTCACGGTCTGGTTATGAAAACAAATTTCGGCGTGTGAACTCGGCATCCGTTTCCTCGTCCCCTCCGACGAGGATTAATATGTTCCGGATTAGGTAGGCAAAGGATCTCGAGAGAGCTCTACAATCATTTTCGAGTAGCACGAGTAACACAAAGCAAGGGTAGATATTCTCCTTCAATGCTATGGCCATATGCTCTTCACTCGTATGCAAGGGACAAACGCAAACAGCTGAGCAAACTTGGTGCAGCTCTACATGTAGAGCTTTGCATGAAGCTCTCCGCACAGAGTGTCGGTATCTGCACCCAGGAGCTGGATTTGATGCAAGCTCATGTACGTATAAGAACATCACAGTGAGCTAACTGAGAAAGATCTTTGATAGAGGCTGAGAGCTGTATTGATGTTGCCTCCTGTACATCATTTGGCGTAGAACCCTAGCTACGTCGTTTAAATGAGGCAGTCTCTCCGCGCCTTTCAATGTGTTGAGCAAGGAAAACTAGGATTTCACATATATTCATGTGCCTTGTGGCCACGCAATGGTGAGGTTACGCATTTGTGGTCAAACTCTAGGAGTGACTTGCATCCTTACTACCCACGGCATACAACTTCCAAGTTGTGCCTTAAATCGATAGACACATGTACATATAGCTAGCTATCTGGAACAAATTTGCTGAGATAGCGATGTTGAAACATAACATGTCTTCACAACTGGACTGGGTGATTTCATCAAACCAAGTAATAGCCTCATCAACATAGGAAAGAGCGAATGAGTTATCCTACATCGCACCTTCCCTCTTAATCACCTTGAGTATTCGCCTCCTTCACCTTTGAGCCTCTTGAATACCCTTACTGACCGCCTCGCTTGATAATTAGCTCGTTACCCCTTCCCACACATCTCATTATTTCATAGCTTCTGGGAGACAATTCTTTTCTTTCCTCTACACATCCCTCCAACCCACACTCTTCTTCCCTAGGCACCTCAAACCTGGAGATTTCTTTCCCCTTACTTCACGGAACAAAAGCTTTTCAATTTCTTTGTTCTTTTCACATTCTTCACAGTTAACATTCTATCCTCGTTTTGCGCAATCAACAACTTCCTTCACGCAAGTTCACCATCCTGCTCCGCCAGAAAATATGGTAGCTTTCAGTCTCGCCTCTGCCTCACCCGAGGGAAAGGGAGTCATGATGGGCATCTTCTTGCTCATTGCACTCTTCCTCCTTGGTGTTGACGGCGCTCCGGCTCAGGATGGCCGAGTCATCCCGCTCGAGTATGACTGGGACCCCGCCAACCCTCCCCTCTGGACCATGCGCCCTGAGGATCGTGAGCGCTTCCTTGAGAACAACATCTTCAACATTGGCAAGCGCGACAACAAGATCGGTAACTTCACCTCCATCACCCCTCTCAACTACACCTGGGACCCCGCGAACCCGCCGCTCTGGACCATTCGCCCCGAGGATCGCAACGGCTCTTCCCATGCCAACACCAAGGCCAGTAGCGAGCAAGTGAATGCCGCTTCCGCCGAGCCCTGTTCGGACAAGACCAAGCCCGCCACGCTCTATTACGAGTATAAGGCCGAGGACTGTCCCCCCAAGAACAAGTTCCTTTCTTTCAAGGAGGGCATGATGAAGTTTGACACATGTGCGAACTGGAACACTGGTGGCGATACGAGATGGTGGAACGACGGATGCACTTCCTTCTGTCAGCTTCGTGAGTCCAGATCTGATGAATCTTATTGTTTTCAAGTTCCAAGTTGTCTTGCTCAAATATATGCTGACTTGTCTTTTCTAAATAGGAACCACTTTCGAGTGGGCTCAAGAAGTTCCTTTCCCAGGTTCCGACTGTCATTCTCCCATCAAATGCGGCATGACTGATTCTGAGTCAGTCGGTTCAGGCTGGAGTGTTGGTGCAAGCACCAAGCTTCAATTCCTGAAGGCGTTCAAGGTTGGTGTCTCCGGCGGTTGGTCTCACAACTACGGCCAAGCGAAGGGCAAGAAGTGGGACATCGAACTGGAGGCGGGTGAATGTGGCTACTTCACCTTCGTTCCTGTCAAGAAGGTTGTCTGGTAAGTAGAGCATCCAAAGCTTACGCTGACAAAATTGCGACTTACTTTACTAACATCAATGTTACTCTAGTGGTGGCATGACTACTGCCAGCCGAAAGCCTACATTCTGGGAATTGAACTGCTGCAACCTCGGAGACATTCAACCCGTCAACTGGAAGTCCTGCGATAACCAAATGTGGATGATCGAGGGAGATAAAATGGATGGCGAATGGACTGGACATTTGATTCCTGACGGCGTCATCATCTTCGTCTACACCGACTGCCGCACTCGTCTTCCCTTGCCCATGGAGAAGCAAGACCCTGTCTACCGAGCTCCCGGCGTGGCGCTTGCTCACAGCGTCATCGACAGCATTCAGCAAGGCTGGGTCTGGAACACGTGCTACTTCTGGAACATGAAGGTCCCGGGCAAGAGAGCGCTCTACATCCGCGGCTCAAACTTCAAGGACGGTGTCATTGGCACTTTCGGCGAGAACATCTCCAAGCTGGTCCGTTCTTGTGCTGGAGAGGGCGGAGTTTCCAACATGGAGTTCGACTGGTATTACAATGGTAAGCCCGACGACACGCCCAAGGAGAAGGGTCCCGTCTGGATGTATCAGGCAGATGTGCCTGATACCATTCGACCTGGCTGCATTGGCGAGGGACTCATGGACATGGGTGCTGTCACTCAGGACCAGTGCGTTGGAGACAAGCTCCCGAACTGATTCACTACCACGCTGATTCCAACTGAAATCGGGCAACATACGAAGCATCGGCAGTAGGGGTGGATCGATGATGATAATGAGGATTGATGGGCGATGAAGATATCTTTTCCGATGGTTCTGGCAGCATGATAGATGGCTAGACAAACTCGGGATAAACCAGACAGCAGAAGAATTCTACAACCTGCAAAGAAGTCTTCTATTACCGTGTGCGTGTGATCTGATCGTACTCGGCCGTTTGATTCTCTGATGCGCTCCGAACATAAATGCGTTCCTCGTTGTATATACTGCATAGCTAGTGTGTAGTTGATGTCAGCTTGACCGCGGATATACGGCTCAGAAGTCCGTATGGCCGAATCCGAAAAGCTGATCAACCTCGGAAAGCTTGGACAAAGCCAAGCAGAATCACAACCAGCATGGAAAGTGAGCTTGTTCTGCTTAAGAATGCTTGGAAGCCCAATTTTATCACAGAACCTTGTCCACAATCTCGTTGCGTTGAGAGAGCAGATTCTCAGCCCAAAGACATGGTTCTGACAGCAGAGAAGGACAGATGAGAGACGGTGTGTGCGTAATACATCTCTCCTCACACTCTGAGAGTTCAACCTAAAGTTTGGGTGATAACACTCATTGCCAGATGTTATTGGTCAATGGAAGCTTCCCTTGTCTTCATTTGGGAAATAGACGCACCGCTGGGTAAACTCGTCTGATATCCCAAGCAAAAGCTTCAGACAAACTTCGACGAGTTGGGCATCTTACCTTCTTCGCGTTTAAAGCGAGACCGAGCTTCCGAGTCCTAAAGCGGGCCTATTTAAATGGCCATAGCTCCGCGAGGTGTCTCTTCTACAAAGCTTCCATGTAAGAGGATCTACAACAGCTCTCTCGGGTTTTCATATCTAGCAAGAAGACCGATACCTAGTTGAAACACCATAGCCATGGCATTGGACGCACTCCCAGTCATAGTCGTCATCGGCGGCGGCGGAATCGGCTTAGCAACAGCCCACCGCCTCGGCGCAGGCCACCACATCCTCTTCGCGAGCCGCTCGCCGTCCACCATCTCCGCCGGCGCCGAGTCTCTCAAACAAGCAGGCCACAAAGTCACGACGCAGCGAGTCGACGTGACATCCTACGAATCCGTCGTCACTCTCGCAAAGGTGGCCTCGAACCTGTGCGGGGCCATCGAGACTGTGGTCTTGACCTCGGCACTCAGCCCGGCAATGGGCTCAGCAGAGATGATTCTCGCTGTCGATGTTGTCGGCACGGCAAACGTGATTGAAGCCTTTGGTAAAGAAGTTGAGATGCCGTACGGCTCGTCGGTCGTTTGCGTGGGAAGTATGGGCCAGCACATGATCCCGCCTCTCTCCCCGGCCCTCGAACGACACCTTGCGACCGCGCCGCGGACATCCCTTCTCGAGAACAAGGAACTCCACGAGCTTATCGCGGGCGTCAGCGCCACGGCGTATTGCATCGCAAAAAAAGCGAATAGTCTACGCGTTCAGGCGGCTGCTGCGTCCGAGGCGTACGCGGGAAAAGGCGTGCGGGTGAATCTTGTCGCGCCGGGGATGACGGAGACGAAGATGCTGGCGGCGGAGATGGAGGGGGCGAGTGGAGCGGGGATCAGGGAGATGATGAAGGCGCATCCTTTCAAGA